TGTAAATGAAAAATTTTTCATAACCAACATGAAATTATTTTACATATTAAGTTTTCTAACAATTACAATTTAATCCGAACCTACCCCGAATATAAGATTAGATGAGTCAGCTTAGGGAAGTGCTGATTTCAATACAGTTCTACCTAATAATGAAACTGCAAAAGTAAATCTATCAGTGCAATTTCTTAAGCATGTGGTTGATACTGGAGCAATAGCAGAAACAACAGTAAAAACAACAGAAAAAACAACAACTAATGCATCTTTTAAACCGGATGAGTATTTAAAAGCTGATTCAGTTCCGCAATATGTAACAGTAGCAGAAGCAATCGAAGCTTTTAAGAAAAATTTAATTGTAAAAGAACTTGCTATCGGTGGATTAATACAAAGTACGCACGTGTTCTACAGACATTTTAGATTAGAATGCGGAGAGGATGATGATATTAAAATACAATGTTCATATGATTCCAACTTTCAGCAAAAAAACATTAAAAATTAATTGTGAAGGGTATACCGTAACTTATGGTAAAAGAATTACAAGTAGTGGTGAATTAGAAACACATACCGCTTTTAATACAGACTATCAATCTTCAGCAGATACTATATTAGATTTACGTAAAGTAAATCAAACTTACCATATGGAAATATTTTAAATAAAAAAATTATCATTGTGTTGCCTGGAAATATAGTTCTAATAAAACAAAATCAAAAAATAAATTTCATCTGTTCTATTCATCTAAGAATTATGAGTTGATTGAAAACTAAGCCATTTTACAAATACTTTACGACCTTAATCTTATACAGTTTTTCCAACTAGGTAAATATCATTATGTTTTGATTTGAGTTACTCATATTCAGTTACTCATATGCAAACTTGACAAGAGTTCTTTAGCATAATTTTTGTTGACATAAACATGTTTTCTTTGAATGATTTGATGGTTTTTATTGTTGTATTGGCTGACTAACTTTCTAGTTTTGTCTTTTCATTTGTAATTTCCATTGAAGCTGAACTCGTTCCAATTTTTTCTTTTAAAGTTCGATTTTTTTCTTTAAAGCGTTCCACGATTGAGGCTATCAGTGAGCTAAATGATGAGTAATGATTTATTTGACATCTGTTTGAAGATTTTTTGGTTGACGATTGGAATGTTTAAAAATTGATATCTATGACACTATTTGAAGTTTTATTGTTTATTGGAATAACCCACGCATATTTTGAGAAGGTATCAATCACATTTAATATAAATTTTTATCCATAATTAAGCTTCAATTTCAATTAAATCAGCTTGCCACTGATCATGAGTACCCTTAACAATTACTTTTCGTCTTGGAAAATTTCTTCTCGCAGGCTTATGCAATTCCTCAACAACCTCTCTCTAACTCATTTTTTCAATAAAACAAGATATTGAAAGAGAATTTCTTTTTAATTTACTTTTGTCTATCCCTGAAGAATAGAAAAATCAAAATTTCAAATTAAAATCAATTACAAATCAATGGGGAGCGGGCTAGTTATTTATCATAAAAATTATAACAAAAAAAATGATAATAATAGTACATAATTTCTTATATCATAGTTATTTCAATTAAATGTTATCTCCCAAGAACTTAAGAATTGTAGATCTGGCATTAGATCATTATTTAAACCATTACATACCAAAGCATAGTCTCCTTTATTAACACATATTAGCATATCACCAGTCATGTTTATGAATTTTCTTGGAAGACGTATTTTAAAAATTTCTCCCTCGTAAGATAGAATTAAAAAGATTGTAACTCCATCAAAAGTCATTATGCGACAAGCTCTGAGGATGATAAATCTTTTTCCTCTATGATTAAGTATTTGAAATGATTGAAGTTGAATTTTACCATTTAATTCATTTAATATTTCTATAATAGAAATATTTTCTTCAGAACTCTGATTAAGATGTTTTTATGAGTACTGTTTTTAACAAACTAAATTAATATAATAATTTTTCATTTATATGAATTATTTCCTTTTTATTCTTTCGTGTAGTTTTATTAATTTTTCACACTTTATTATAATATTATTATAATATTCACACTTTATTACATCAGCTGAAATGCATGAACAACTTTCAGGTAACGAGTTCACAACAAAACCATTTTAAAAAGATTTTGTTGGGGACTCGTTACCAAATTATTTTAATGGTGCTTCAAATTAAAAAATGAGTACTTCAAATTACTGGTAGTTTAAATAAGATCACAACTTGGTTTCCAGCTTTTCGCACCAAAATCTTTAAATAACTTTTTTGATTTTAAAATGTTGCTTACCATATCAACATAAAAGGAGTCTCTCAATTTAGTTTTAATCAAATTATCAGAAGAAAATACCCTTTCAGCTGTTGCACTACAATGCGCTAAACTGAGGGAGCTTTGAATAAATTTTTCAAATTTTCAACAATATCGAAACTCGATCGGTTTTAATTAAAATGTCAAAATCGCAATATTACCGCCTATTGCAAAAATTCTATACAAACATATTTCATCTACTGACGTCCACGAATTTTCCTAGGTTTGCTTATTTGAAGCTCGAACTGGCTAATTGATTAACTTGACTATAAAAAGATAGGTTATGGCTTTTGAATTAGCAGAAAAAGGTTTATATATGCACATAATTTCGTTAGCCAGGGTTTTGTCAAAAAATATTTAAATATTGCAAAAAAATTTTTTTTTTTTAGAAATTATATTTTTCAACAGAAAAATTTTTTCAAGGATAATTATTATCAATATTGCTTTTGGATCTTACTGAAGCAAATACAAAATCGGAGCCAAAATGCAAACGGAGGAGCCGGATACATAAATTTCCAAATCGGAGCCAAACGACAGCCTTGATCGTCATCAGCAAAAAGTACATTGCAAGTAACAACCAAGACTATACAAAAAATCAAAAATATATGTTCAGTTCAAGGGCAGTAAGATATTGTGATATAAAAAAACATATGTGCACAATTTAATTTCAATTTATAAAACAAACTTATCCAGAGAAAAAAAATGTATGAGTTTTTTTTTTTTTTGAGTTTCAAAAGAACAATTGAAGACAGAAATAAAAATGCTCCGTCTTTTTATCGACCATGTTCCAACTTTCTCAAAATGAGAATTTGACGGGAGAATAGAAATATTAGTGTTCTAGCATCAGTGTTGTTGGCATGCTTAATGCCAAACTTGGCGTAAACAATTTTTGTTTTGCATTGAGTTTTTTGAAAATTGTCAAATGCATTTTTGGCATATTGGCGTAAAAAAATTGATAAATCTTTAAAAAAGGCGTCGAGATGTTTTATCTTTGTGAGGAGAGAAAAGCTTGTAGCGTAAAATTTTTTAAAAAATGCGTACCAATCTAATGGCCTTGTGATGTATATTCATTTTTTATTTCTTATGTTTAAAATTAAGACTGAATTTGTTTTGTTAGTTTTTACAAGATGGTGAAACTTAATTGCATATCTATATATAAAAAAGTTAGTTTTTTTAATTCATTTATCTTTAAATTAGCTGCTTTGGGCAAAAAACAATGTCTTTTTATAAAATACTTCCGAAAATGAACATATTATTATAATATTTTGTGATTCTCTTTTTTAAAAATATGAACGGAAAAGTTAGTATTCACTTTTGGATATCATTCAAAAATTAAAGTTTAATGAGTTTATACAAGTTCTTCATTTTAAAATGCTTATGTTTTGAAATTGCTTTATTTTAAATATTTAACTTAAAACTGTTACCTTACATAGAATCAGGAAAATCTTAACATTTGCCTTTTCATGCAACATTTTTATTTTTCGTTCGTCTATTTTTCTCGTTAAATAATAAATAACAAAACATGATAAATTACGATATACTTTTTAAATGTGCGAAATTATATATTTTGACATTTATTTTTGAATTTCGAAAATGGAATTGAAACATTCGAACTCAGGGGAACGCTTTCCGGCGAATGTAAAATTTTAATTCTCTTCACATTCTCCCGAATACTAGAACATAGACAAATATTTCTGGATCGTTATCGTATACTAAACGGACTTATTTTACAAGCGTCATTGTCCGTAATGAATGCGAACATACCATTAGTTATTTATTATAACTTAAACATGACTTTAAAAAATTTAATATGTTAATACATATGACTCTTTTCTCCTAATATTCTAAACGTTAAGAAAATAAATTAAACGAGCTCCTTTTAATGCAAAAAGTTTTTTAATTAAGTTTTTTTTCGCAATTGTTTCCTTTAACAATGTTGTCAGAATTTGTAAAAACAATGACTTGACAAAAAAAAATTTTTTACCGTTGACAATTTTTAATTTTTAAAAGTCTTAGATCTCTAAGATTAAGTCAAAGAAATAATTCTCTCATGCAAGGAATAATTTTTATAGTACGCATTTAAGTTTTTCATTTTTTTTTCTTTCAACTTATGTGATTGCTTATGTTCATACCGCGAGATATGAACATGTTACTTAAAAACTAACATTTCATAACTTTTTCCATCTGTTCACTTCAATTTTGGTTTTTTTTTATTTAATAGTTTTTTATTTTTACTCGCAAATATTTGTTTTACAAATTTAAAACAATTACTTGATCCCTTAAGCTGGATTCATTGGTTCGTCGTTTTCGAAATAGCTGATCTTTTTTCACTTGTAGTCGAACTATTTTTTCTCTTGATTGTTCATTGGTTCGTCTGAAAAAAGCAATTCATTTTTTTTATTATGATGCATTTATTACGTTTTTAACAAGAATTACATATACATATGTAATTGTAATAGGTCATGTAATTTGACGTTTTAAGAAAACTCCGCACTAAAGTTGAAGCTGATTCAACTTTTTGAGAGAGAGAAAAAAAGCTGTACTAAAAATAAAGATAATGTCAAAAATTCAAATTTTCATACAAAATACATCAGCTCCTCGCGATAGCGACGAACCAGTGAATCCAGCTTTAATAGGGCACTCTGAACAAAATGAAAGTATATCTTCAAGCTGACGTCATATTCATTAGATTTGGCAGTTTTCATGCAGCCGATTGATAGTGCTTGATATTTTAAAAAAAAGTGAGTGAATGTAGTCACATCTTAATACACAAGCGGATATAAATTCATAGCCATTTAATACAGATATAAATATGAATTTAATCGATTTCGAAAAAATAAACCCTGAGGCGATTTTGCTTATTCATAACATTAAAATTGGGTAAATATTTTGTTAAAGATTGAAAATTTTAAAAGTATATGAAATATTTGTTACCAGAAAGTTAAAGGGATCGTTTGACATCGCACATCAAGCATTGCAAATTTTAAAAAATGTTATTAATAGTTATCAGTGGAAAAATGCACAGTAAAGACATTTTTATATTTAAAAAAAGACTTAATAAAATATTCATTATAGAGAGTTATTGGAAACAATTCGCTTGCATGGGGAAGTATTAGTTTCTTCTCTACCCAACGAAGTTGTATTAGCCAACATTACTAGAAGGATTTTAAAAGTGATTCGTGATGAATTTATTTTGCTACAAATTAAGGTGAAAAAATGAATACAGAAACAATTATGTAAAAAGCTCATACTTTTTATTCAGATCAACCAGTATTCAGACGATGCACAAACTTGTTTGTCACTTCATAAATTAGTCAAACAAAATAGTGACTTCGAGTTTAATTTGGATTTTACTACTCCACAAATTGGCTTGAAAAAACATATAATTGACCATATTCAGGAAATTGAAACTGAATTGGAAACTAGTTCAGATAATATTTCAGTGCAAGCTAAGGAGCATGTTCATTCTTCTGAAGTTATATTAACTATTGGTCTTTTTCATAGTGTTGAGAATTTTTTAAAAAAAGCTATTAAAGAACGTCAGTATTTAACAATAATTATAGCGGAATGTGCACCTTATTGTGAAGTAAGACAATAAAATTTCATTTTCTCCATATAATGTTATTGATAAATACAGGGTCATAATTTGGCAGCTAATATTGCAGCTCCAAATGTAGATGTGGTTGTCATTCCAGATTCATCAATTTTTGCAATGATGTCGCGGGTAAACAAAGTTATAATAGGTACGCACTGTGTGTTAGCTAACGGTGGCTTAAGAGCATCCTGTGGTTCTTATACAGTGGCTTTGGCTGCAAAACATTACTCAGTCCCAGTGATTGTTCTTGCTCCCATGTACAAGCTATCGGCAATGTATTTACGCAGTTATGAACAAGACGCATTCAATTTAGTTGGTCCCGCTGGGAGTGTGATTGAATGCAATTCTTTGGGACCTAATATCTCTAGAACATTTAGCCCAATTTTCGATTATGTTCCTCCTGAATTAGTTACACTTTTCATATCTAATATGTAAGTAATTGATAATTGCCAAGGATAACATAAATTTTTAATATTATATCTTTTTAAAGGGGCGGTCACTCACCTTCATATGTGTACAGATTATTGACAGAGTTGTATCATCCGGAGGATAAAATATAGTTTCAAAACAGTTAAAATTTTATTACAAAAATTTGACGGTTTAATCGTAAATAAAGAATTTTAATACACATGCATTACATTTTAGTTTCAAGAATGCTTATTATGGCTAGAGTACATCCTGATTTTAAAATAACTTACAATATAAGTAAGAACAATAGGTTCCAAGTTCAAAAAACTTATTTTGCAAGAGCTATTAATGTAACAACTTTGAAATAAGGATTTTTATTAACTTTATTATTGAAACAAGCATATTTACCTTAAATTTGAGTACGTTTACCTTTAATTTTACGTACATTTACCTTTAACTTTATGTATATGATGAAACAACAGCAGGGAATAAAAAAGAATACACTTACAGAAAGCGATATATTGCAGATTCTAAGAACTAAAGTATTTATTTTTAAATAAAAAAACAAAACAATTTAGCTGTCTATAATTCTGGTTCTATCGAAAGTTAATATGAGCACTGTAAAGCATTTCATTTTAAAGATAATTTAAAAAGCATGTTCTGCCACAATTTACATAGGTAAACTATACCCAGTGTTACGTCAGCTTGGCTTGAAATCATCCCGAAATTCAACCTTTCCTTTGACATGTTAACATGAATGCACAAAAATGCTGTTTAGCTATTATATGCAAATCAAGTAAGCAAAATTTTTTAATTAACTTATATTAAACCGGCTGCAAGTGTCGTTTATATGTATAGGCTTCAAGTATGGATTCGTGTTGCATTAAAGAATCTCTTGATGGGAAAAAACGTAAAATGGCAAAACTTTCGTAGGTCTATTCTAAAATATTTGTGTTCAATGTACGTGTTTAAATTACTCATATGCATATGCAAAACCAACATTTTTTCATAATCGATTTAAAAGAAAACGCTAACTTTATTTATTATTAACTTTATTTTTTATTGTTCGAATGTCAATTTATTAAAAAGACATTTCACATTAATCGATTAAAAAGAAAACGCTAAATTAATCGGTTGTAGAAATATTATTCCAGCCTACCGGGAAGAAATAATGTAATTGTACAAAATAAACCGTGACTTCAATAATGCGCTTACGACTTAAATTTCACAAAATATCAAGTTTTGCAAAATATCTTGACATTGTATACTTTTCCTAAATACGTTTTATACGTAATGGAGACGTCAAATAAAAGTAAATTGGGTATTGAAAAAATCGAGCACGCTTTTCTTATACCTTGTCATATAAATGTTGCCAGGAATAACCGATAAAATAAACCACCATATATTTTCAGCAATAAAGTGCTAGTTATCAAGTTTTTTTCCTAAAATGCAGCATAAAAATATTATGTTTTTAATGATGTGGTAACGTTTTATAAAAGTGAACATTTTCACAGAACTTTAAATTGAAATTTTCAAACAAACGTCAAAGTTGTATTGATATGGTAAAAATTGTATTCCAAAATTAATGTCTTTATATCTAACAAGTCCCAATACTCAATTTTTTTTACGAAATATTACGAATTTTTGGCTTCGTCGCTGGTTTTTTCTTTAAATGCCACTGAACGTGTCATATTTTTTATTATTTTTTTCTTTTTTTTTAAGTAAAAAAGAGTTTAATATTTTAAAAAATCTCAGGATATTATACACATTTTTTAAAAAGCTTCCCATTAAAATTCTGTTGCACGAAAAAGAAAGAAAGGTAGGAGGGAAGATAAAATGAAAAAAATTTGAATTTCATATTTCAGTCAAAGTATATCTACTAATAAGTAATTCGACTCGTTCCATTCCGTTAGTTTTCGTTTGCATCTTGCTTCCAAATTCTTAAAATATCCATTTTTTTGTAGAAATAGATGGTAATAAGAGTTGTGTAGGCCAGAAAGAAACAAAATATTGTAAACAAACGAGTGTATCAAAAACATTAAACTAAAATTAAATTAAGTTGGTAATATAATTATTTTTTATTACAAAATTTATTTTTTATTTTATAAAATTTAGGTAAAAAATTGAAATGTATCAAAGCAAAAGAGTTTGAAATTTCATGTATGAATGTACACATCCATGTACCTGATACAGTAAATACGCAGTATCAGGTAGTGGCATAGAAATAAAGTAATTTATAAAGAAAAAAAAGTGTATACATACTGATTACTTTATGATATATAATTATTACCGGGAAATATATTATTCATGCAAATATGTTCTAAATTTATTAAGATTGAAATAAAAATAAAAAATTTAAAGATAATTTATTTATTTTATTTATTAATTACAAATGCCTAACACTAAATATTTAAAATATTTTCAAAAGTACATATTTATCTCTTCACATCTTTTGGCAACAAATGAAATTTTTGTGTCGGCTTTTTTTCATCCCAAAAACTTCAAATAATGTTTACCCATTTTTATAAAAAAAATATTTTTTTTCACAACTATTTCAAGACAATAAAATTTCATTTTCTCCATATAATGTTATTGATAAATACAGGGTCATAATTTGGCAGCTAATATTGCAGCTCCAAATGTAGATGTGGTTGTCATTCCAGATTCATCAATTTTTGCAATGATGTCGCGGGTAAACAAAGTTATAATAGGCACGCACTGTGTGTTAGCTAACGGTGGCTTAAGAGCATCCTGTGGTTCTTATACAGAGGCTTTGGCTGCAAAACATTACTCAGTCCCAGTGATTGTTCTTGCTCCCATGTACATGCTATCGGCAATGTATTTACGCAGTTATAAGCAAGACGCATTCAATTTAGTTGGTCCCGCTGGGAGTGTGATTGAATGCAATTCTTTGGGACCTAATATCTCTAGAACATTTAGCCCAATTTTCGATTATGTTCCTCCTGAATTAGTTACACTTTTCATATCTAATATGTAAGTAATTGATAATTGCCAAGGATAACATAAATTTTTAATATTATATCTTTTTAAAGGGGCGGTCACTCACCTTCATATGTGTACAGATTATTGACAGAGTTGTATCATCCGGAAGATAAAATATAGTTTCAAAACAGTTAAAATTTTATTACAAAAATTTGACAGTTTAATCGTAAATAAAGAATTTTAATACACATGCATTACATTTTAGTTTCAAGAATGCTTATTATGGCTAGAGTACATCCTGATATTAAAATAACTTACAATATAAGTAAGAACAATAGGTTCCAAGTTCAAAAAACTTATTTTGCAAGAGCTATTAATGTAACAACTTTGAAATAAGGATTTTTATTAACTTTATTATTGAAACAAGCATATTTACCTTAAATTTGAGTACGTTTACCTTTAATTTTACGTACATTTACCTTTAACTTTATGTATATGATGAAACAACAGCAGGGAATAAAAAAGAATACACTTACAGAAAGCGATATATTGCAGATTCTAAGAACTAAAGTATTTATTTTTAAATAAAAAAACAAAACAATTTAGCTGTCTATAATTCTGGTTCTATCGAAAGTTAATTTGAGCACTGTAAAGCATTTCATTTTAAAGATAATTTAAAAAGCATGTTCTGCCACAATTTACATAGGTAAACTATACCCAGTGTTACGTCAGCTTGGCTTGAAATCATCCCGAAATTCAACCTTTCCTTTGACATGTTAACATGAATGCACAAAAATGCTGTTTAGCTATTATATGCAAATCAAGTAAGCAAAATTTTTTAATTAACTTATATTAAACCGGCTGCAAGTGTCGTTTATATGTATAGGCTTCAAGTATGGATTCGCGTTGCATTAAAGAATCTCTTAATGGGAAAAAACGTAAAATGGCAAAACTTTCGTAAGTCTATTCTAAAATATTTGTGTTCAATGTACGTGTTTAAATTACTCATATGCATATGCAAAAGCAACATTTTTTCTTAATCGATTTAAAAGAAAACGCTAACTTTATTTATTATTAACTTTATTTTTTATTGTTCGAATGTCAATTTATTAAAAAGACATTTCACATTAATCGATTAAAAAGAAAACGCTAAATTAATCGGTTGTAGAAATATTATTCCAGCCTACCGGGAAGAAATAATGTAATTGCACAAAATAAACCGTGACTTCAATAATGCGCTTACGACTTAAATTTCACAAAATATCAAGTTTTGCAAAATATCTTGACATTGTATACTTTTCCTAAATACGTTTTATACGTAATGGACACGTAAAATAAAAGTAAATTGGGTATTGAAAAAATCGAGCACGCTTTTCTTATACCTTGTCATATAAATGTTGCCAGGAATAACCGATAAAATAAACCACCATATATTTTCAGCAATAAAGTGCTAGTTATCAAGTTTTTTTCCTAAAATGCAGCATAAAAATGTTATGTTTTTAATGATGTGGTAACGTTTTATAAAAATGAACATTTTAACAGAACTTTAAATTGAAATTTTCAAACAAACGTCAAAATTGTATTGATATGGTAAAAATTGTATTCCAAAATTAATGTCTTTATATCTAACAAGTCCCAATACTCAATTTTTTTTACGAAATATTACGAATTTTTGGCTTCGTTGCTGGTTTTTAGCACTTTTCCAAAAATTTTTTGAAAAAAAGTGCTTATTAGTTTCACTCTGTCCGTCCGTCCGTCCGTCCGTCCGTCCGTGTGTCTGTTTACAAAACTTCTACACCCTTGAAGATAGAAAGCTGAAATTTTGTACGTACATAGATCTTTACCAGAAACTTATTTCTGTAGAACAAAATTTTTACCTATCTCCCCCCCTCTAGAAGTTATACCCCCCCAAACCCCTAAAAATGGCCTTTTTTAACTATTTGTTGCAATGAAACCATAAGCATTTTTGAAATTTTGCAAACACAGAATGTCAGCTGCTTGCTTCCCCTACCGCGGTATACTATAGTTAAACCTTAGAAAAACAAAATGACCGCTCAAATTTACCGTTATCTAAAGTCGTTTTTTTTCAAATTTTTGATGTCGTTTATCTTCCAAACCCCAGCCTGTAGAAGCTTGAAATTTTAGGAGCTTTTAGACATTATCAAAAAGTTCATTTCATTAGAAGAAAATTTTTTTCTATCTCCACCCCCTCTCAAGTTATCGCCTCTTGAAATTTGTAAAATTTGAATTTTTGACACCTTGTATTTCCGAAACCGCAAGCTT